GCCTGGAAGCGAGAAGCGGCGGGAGCTGCGAGGCGGCGGCGCTGCCGGCAGGGGTCAGGCTGGCCCCGTCCTCCTGCCGCGGCCTGCGCCGCCTCCCCGGAGAGGGCCTGCACCTGCGCATGCGCCTGCGCCGCCCGCCGCCGCCGCGCGCCGGTAAGCCGGGGCGGCCCTTTGCTCGAAAACCGGGCTGCTTCGCTCAGGCTGCCCTGAAACCTTACGGGTTTAAGTGACTTGCGGACAGGGACTTTAAAGGGTACTTTCCGCAGCACAAAAAAAACCCAGCACAAAACCCTCAGCCAGCTGGAGTTCGTGGTTTGCATTGTTAGCCTAGTAGAAAGCGACAGGACAAGAGGGAATGGCCTCAAGTTGGGCCAGGGAAAGTTCAGACTAGATATTAGGAAGCATTTCTTTCCAGAAGGGGTTGTTAGGTGTTGGAATGGGCTGCCCAGGGAGGTGGTGGAGTCCCCATCCCTGGAGGTGTTCAAGAGTCGGGTCGATTTAGAGCTTAAGGATATGCTGTAGGTGGGAACTGCTAGGCGAACAGTTGGACTAGGTGATCTCCAGGGTCCTTTCCAACCTAGATGATTGTGTGTATTCTGTGTATATGCTATAAAAGGCTCTCTTTAGCTCTGAACTGAAGACTTAAGCAAGAACTGATGAGATTTAATAAAATTGTCAGTTTAAAAAATCCAAAGTGCAGAGTGGTGTAGTGAAAGGGAAATGTGGTTGCTGAGGAAGTGTTTTGTGTAGGAGTTTGACAACTGCTCTCAGTTCCTCCCCCATGCTTTGCCATATTACATCAAAATTGTTTTCTTTCCCTCCTATTTCATGTTTGGCAGCTGAAAATGTGGTAATATGATTTGTCCAGGCTATCATGCTAAGGTTATCACTGACCACTTAGTTATAAAGGGTTGTGATTCTGTGTTGGGGCTTGTTCTCACAGCGTCAGTTTGCAGAGGCTGGTGTTGCAGGTAACACCTGTAAAGTTACCTTCTTTATTTCCATCATGATAATTCAGGTCTAGGTTGTGATTGCACAGTTAGAAAGCATGGTAGTATAGCTGGTGCTCTGCTTTATTCTAGCATCCAAGATCAGTGTATTTAGATTCATTTAACAGGGTGTGGCACAGAAAGATACATTAAATAACACAGTCCTGTTATTCTGCGGTTTTAAAGTAGAAATGACCGGTAAAGTACATGATGTGCAATAATGGCTTCAGTACCAGAAATGTGTTAGAATACTCTTGATTTTATGTTATGCTGACGTTGTAATTATATGCTTTGACAATTCAATTATATAAAAATTATTTAGTGCGTCTTATTAATGAGGTATGCTTCAAAAGATCAAAGATGAAGTTTTGAAAATTTAACTTTGAAAGTTGTACCAGTGAAAAATGGATATGTGAACCAGATGGTAATCGACATATATAGTGGATAACCTTAGTTAGCCTTTAATGTTTTATATTAGTGTGCAAAACTAGTTGTATCTTATTTGAAATTCTGGAATCCTTTAAAGTACTTTTCATTTGTGGTTGCAACCTAAATCTTAAATACTGAATGCCACTGCTGAGAATACACTTTGAGTCTTGAGTATGAGAAAGTGGGCAATACAAAACATATTCATACACAGAGCTAAGCTTACAGTTTTAGTTCTCTTCCACCTAATGCTATTTGATAATTTGTGGAAGCTTTTATAGCTTCTTTTCTAATTTGGAAAAGTTGTCTGAGATGGCTTTTGTGAGACTGCTTTTTCTTTGCTGGCCTGCAGAGGGTATTGCTCACTATCTATTCCTCGAGTGGTGCCACAGTGGCTGGTATCTTACCTGCCTGAAAATTTAAAACTAGTGCCCCCTCTTACCTCCCCCCATCCCTCCAACTATTTTGTGTTACATATTAGGATGTAACCTCATATTGCAGAAACACTGATTAGCAGAAATATCATTACAAAAGAGTGGCACTGTATTATAGTTTATACAATCTCTATCTAATGCTATTAATATTTCAGCTCTCCCTGTGGAGAGGATTTGCACCTTTAAAATAATTATTCACATATATAATTCCTACTCAGCAATATGGGGTATGAGGTGGAGATGGCAAATTTTTTTAAAATCTAAGTACTTGGCTTCTATAGGTAACTCAAGGTTTTAAATATCAGCATTTGCTTTGTTTGTTAGGTGCTTATCTTTTTTGATTTGAGATATTTGGCAGGACATTTCTGTACAGGTGACTGAAAATTTTACAGTTTTGAAGATTAATATGTCTTCTTTATCTATAGATTTGGGGGTTACTTTGTCGGAAAACCTGAAACCCCAGAAGAATTATGTCTTTTACTGTCAATCCTGTGGTGACATCATAGTAAAAGACCGGTGAGTACTGCAGTGTCTTGTATTTATAGCAATAAATGCCATAGTGATTGATATTTGTGTTATTTTGTGTACTTAGAGAGACAGCTAAAAGGCATTTATTTTTAAATTGATAGATGAAAACATTTTTGAAGCACTACGGGTAACTAAAAAGCAAGATCACCTGAAACAGTTTTTTACTGTTTTTATTCATTTGCTTCTTGATTTCAGTCTGGCTGGAGAGTAGAAGTACTTTACAGAGAAAGTTTGGTTCATTGCCCTGAAAGCTGGGAAATCTGGATTCTTTTCCTGCTTGTCTGCTATGCTTTGAGTGAGACATTTCCTTTTGTAGCTAGACTTCCTCATGTTTCTGCTTTGAGAGCTGTGCTTTTTGGTCATACAGAATCTCTTTGCACTCATCATAATAGCTTCTGGTTTTGCTGTACAAACAAAAGCTGTAACATTTTGGCCTGAAAATATTGCAAATGTTCATAGTTTTCACTGATTTAAAAAATACTCAGTAGTTGACATCTTTGCTATGTTGAAGGGATTAAAACTGAAAGAAGTCTAGACTTCTTTCTTCCTCTACATTTCAGGGATCCTCTTTAGTTCCGCTCAGTCTCTTACGAATTCCCTTCTGTCATCATGCCGTAGTTACAGAATGGCTGCTCAGAATGGGGGGGTTGACCACAGCTCCCTTCTATCTGTTAACAAAGCCAACCTCCACATAGTTCAAGGATGCTGAATTTTGGAAACAGAGGAATTGTTTCTTAGCTATGTGACTTGGCCTTCCTCTCTGTTCCTTACAAAGTCTGCAGAGTGAATGAGAATTTTAATAAAAAGCTGCTGCATTTTCTGGCTCTTCTGATGAACAATTTTGACAGCTTCATCTGGATTTATAAGAATTGTTAGAGATGCACTTGTAGCCTTTTATGATCTGTGTCTCTCCTATTACTCAAAATAGTAATATGAATGTGGTATATTCTGTAAACTCCTTTTACTTTCTTGACATACATATGGATATATGGCTGACTTGAATGTGAGTGAGGATTGCCTATCTTTCTCTTCTGAAATGCCTCATCAGAAAGTCTAGTAATAACTCTTATTTTGACACATTTGTAGAGTAACGAAACTTCTAATTTCTAGTCAGTAACATTTTCTTTCAAAACATTGCAGTTTTATATTTTCATCTCCGAGTGGGTGTTTTCCTGAATTTCAGTGCACTAAATTCACATGTATAGAGTTCTCGTCTTCTGGTTCTGCATCCTATAATATGATACAGTCAGAATTTTTGAGACAGAAAAAAGACAACATGTTCATGGCTCTTTGCTTGGCATTTCTCCTTGCAGGGAACCTCTGAACCCTTTGAATATTATCACTAAAAAAATTTTAAGACAAAAGAGGGGAGCTGCCAGTGTATCCAACACCTGTTCCAGCACTTCCAAAAGGAAGACAGTAACGTAGTACTTTTAGCTACAGAATTTGTGTGTTGGTCTCTCCAGGGAGAGTATGGCAATGGCAGCACAGGTGGTGGGATTGAAGGAAAGTTAAAGAACTGTGTGAGGAGGAACTTACTAAATTGTGAATTACTAGGGAAGGGTCTGTAATAAGAAAAACTTGAGATCTAGAAAATTATACCTTTGAGAAGAAATGGAAATAAATTGGATTTAATTTAGATAAGGCTGTGGAGAAGATGTGAGACTCTTCCAATGTGTAAGAAGTTGCTGCAAAGAAGGTGGCAGTAGTCTTCAGTTGAAGCAAGAGGAATTTAGTTTAAAATGAAAAAAAAAATCAAACCTATTCTAAAGCTTATTTTTTACTGTTAGAGACTGCATAGGAAGCCATCATTTTAAAGACTAGATTAAGAAATGTTCGGAATGTTTTAAATGTAAGTGAGCCTACCTTGATGTGAGAAAATGGACTCTATACAAAATCCTCTGGCTTAGTCTGTTTCCTTTCATGCAGCTGATAGCTTTTCAGAGTTTAGCGTTGTGCTCACTGGTTCTTCTCCATTAACCTCACATTACCCATATTAGAGGAAGTGATTAGATTATTTTTTTTCCTATGATTTAAGAGCTGCAAATGATTTGGGATACTTTCTTTTTTCTTTCTCACCTTCCAATTAGGTTAAGTGTAGCTCATGTATAAAATAATTCTTTAAGACTTTACTTCTGTCATGAAGAAACTCTTAAAGGCTTATGGTGGGTTGACTGGCTGGATGCCAGGTGAAATGCTGGGGTTTCAACCCCAAGCCCCAAATTAAGGTTGGTATATGGGTGATTCCCACAGCCCTTCACAAAGGGGGGGTGAGTTTGCTTTTAGGCTTCCCTCCAGGGTGGGGCCGGCCTTGCAGGGAGAGCCATTGGGTAAATGAGCCCCAGGTGTCCTGCATTAAGTAAGCAAAGGTCAGGTGTCCTACTTAGGGATAAAAGCTGGGACCACTTGCAGGCAGGGGCAGTGTCTGTCTGTGAGGTGGATGCACTTTGCAGAGTTTCCTCTTGGGGAAGGGCCTCCTGCCTCCCTGGAACTGGGCTCCAGTCAGGTCTGTCTCTTGTAAATGCGGGCTGTGTAGAGATTCAGTATGTGGCTTCCCTGGTTTTATGTATTTGCCTTGTTGACTCAGTTGTCTCCCATCCCTTCTATGGGAGACTGTATTTCACCATTTATTCCCCCCATTGTTGGTTGTGTGGTGTCATTGTTGGGGTCAGTGGGATTGATGTCAATTATGTATAATCTGACTTGTTTGTACCCCCAGTTCTCACCCATGTACTGACTCTTTTGTATCAAATACAATTTGGTTATTGGTTCATCTTTATGCTGGCTGTGTCCTTTATGCTAGGCCTGATAATTGGCAGAACACCAAGTGCCCACCAAAGCTGCTCTATCATTCCCCCTGCTGAGCTGGACAGGGGAGAAGATAAGGTGAAAGGCTCATGGGTCGAGATAAAGGCAGGAAGAGATCACTCCCCAGTTACCATCACAGGCAAAACAGACTTGACTTGGAGAAATTTAATTGCTAATCAAGTCAGAGTAGCATAATGAGAAATAAACCTCAATCTTAAAACCACTTCCCCCCTCTCCCTCTTCTTCCCGGGGTCAAATTCACTCCCAGCTTCTCTACCTCCTCCCTCTGAGCAGTGCAGGGACCAGGAATGGGGGTGCAGTCAGTTCATCATACATTGTCTCCTGCTGCTCCTTCCTCCTCAAGGGGAGGACTCCTCACACTCTTTCCCTGCTCCAGTGTGGGGTTTCTCCCATGGGCAACAGTCCTCCACAAACTTCTGCAGCATAAGTCCTTTCCCATGGGCTGCAGATCTTCACAAACTGCTCCAGCGTGGGTCCCTCCTGTGGGGTGTAGTCCTCTAGGAGCAGACTGTTCCAGTGTGGTACTCCATGGGGTCATAAGTCCTGCCAGCAAGCCTGCTCCACTGTGGGCTCCTCTCTCTCCATGGGTCCACAGGTCCTGCCAGAAGCCTCTTCCAGTGTGGGCCTCCCACAGGGTCACAGCCTCCTTTGAGCATCCACTTGCTCCAGCGTGGGGTCCTCCATGGGCTGGAGATGGATCTCTGCTCCTCCAGGGGCACAGCCTGATCCAGCACCTGGAGCACTTCCTCCCTCTCCTTCACTGACCTTGGTGTCTGCAGGGTTGTTCTTCTCACATATTCTCGTTCTCTGGTTGCATTTGTGCAAGGTTTTTTTCCTCTTCTTAAATATGTTATCACAGAGGTGCTATTGTTGCTGATGGGCTCAGTCTTGGTGAGTGGCAGGCCTGTCTTGAAGCTGGCTGGCATTGGCTTTGTCGAACATAGGGGAAGCTTCCAGCAGCTTCTCACAGAAGCCATGACTGTAGCCCCCTGCTATCAAAACCTTGGCACAGAAACCCAATAGAAGGCTGAATGTTGTGAAAAATAAATTTTACAAATTGACTCTTAAGCAATAAAGCTTTTCATGAGTCCAAACATTATGAATTTGTCCTACATAAGTATTCTATTTAAAATCTGATGGGGAAATCTAATTATACTTCTACATAGATAGCATGGCAATTAACTGTCAAGCTGGGCTGTCCAAGATTTTTTATTAAGTAAATAAGGAAGTCAGCTGTTAAAGAAATTCAGCTGGGTCTTTCTTCTTTCTTTGATGAAATAGAAGGCTTATATGTTTAAAAGTCTAAAGTCCATTTACTTCCAGTTTTCAGAATTTTTAGTAGATAGGATGATATTACTGGGTTCTTGGATATTGGAGATTATTCTTCTTAGTTCAGTCTTATAAGGAGCTTTACAGTCAGATACTTACCTTAGCATGGAAGCACAACTAAGAATTACGTTGTCATGGCAGGACTCTTTTAGACTGGTGCCTAACTTCTAGCTTTTTAAATATAAGTTAATTACCTAGGCTTCCTCTGTTTGGAGACAGAGATCTCCAGAAGGCCATTCAGCCTGACTATATTGGACACTGTCAGAAGGAGAAAGTTTCTCTTAAAGGTCCCAACCTAAGAATTGTTTGTTGCTCTCTGACTGTGAAGGTAGCCTAGCTGTCTATCTTAAAGTAGAAACTCAGTTGTTATTAGCAGCGAGACTGGGGAGAAAGTTCCCCTGTTAGCTAGCTTTTATCACTGTATTTAGCAGCCTCAAGTTAGTCAGCATCCATTAAACTTCATTTCTTTTTTGTTGTTTTTTTCTGTAAAGCCATGTTTTTATTAGTGTTACATTTTTCCAGTTCTAGTGATCCAGAATATGGCTTCCTGCCTGTCGTGGTTTAAGCCCAGAGGACAACAGAGCACAACAAAGCTGCTCCCTCACTCCTTCCCCCTGAGGGCTGGGGAGGAAAAAATAAAAGGTTCGCTGATTGAGACAAGGATGGGGAGGGATGACTCACCAATTATGGTCATGGGGGCAGACTCAATTGGGGAAGAGACAGAACATCAATTTAATTTGAAAACGACCACCACCACTTAATTTACCAATCAGTCAGAGTTGGACAGTAAGAAATACAAACAAATCTTAAAAAAAAAACTTCACACCACCCCTCCCTTCTTCCCAGGCTCAGCTTTGTTCCTGATTTCTCTACTTCTTCCTCCTGAGTGGCGCAGGGGGTGGGAGATAGGGTTGTGGTTCATCACCCGTTGACTCTGCTGCTTCATCGTCCTCAAGGGGAGGAGGACTCACTCTTTTCCCCTGCTCCAGCATGGGGTCCCTCTCATGGGAGACAGTCCTCCATGAATTTCTTCAGTGTGAGTCCTTCGCATGGCCAGCAGCTCTTCACAAACTGCTCCAGCATGGGTCCCTGCCACGAGCTGCAGTACTCCCAGCAACAGACTGCTCTAGGGTGGGCTCCCCTCAGAGTCCCAGCCTTCTCTGGGCGCGTCCATCTGCTCTGGCGTGGGGTCCTGCATGGGCTGCAGGTGGGCATCTGCCCCACCGGTGACCTTCAGGGGCACAGCCTGCCCTCTCACCACGGGCTGCAGGGGAATCTCTGCTCTGGCGTACCTCTCCCACTTCTCCTCCTTTCTGTCACTGACCTTGGTGTTTGCAGAGGTATTTCCCCCACAACCTCTCCTCCTTTCAGGTTCTCCTTCTTAAATATCACAGAGTCACAGCCACTGTCGTTAATTGGCTCGGCCTTGGCCAGAGGCAGGTCCAACTTGGAGCCGGGGAACCTTCTAGAAGCTTCTCACAGGAGCCATCTCTGTGGCCCCCTCCCCTGCTACCAAAACTTCATCGTACACAAACCCAACACACCACATATAAATGTCAAAAGCTTAAAATATAGTGAAAATGTTCTATTTTCTGTATAGCTCAAAGTTAGGAGGGGTCTATTTAGGAAATTCCTACTGGCTGGAGCAACTGCTTTTGTTGGGCAAGAATTCACAATCTTGATGCTCTAGGCTGTGAGGGTAAAGAAAGGGTAATGTAATGAAACTGGACAGCATTAGTCTGCAGCTTAAGGTAATCTCTGTCTTTTTTTCCCCCTGTATGTAACACTTGAAAAAACATTGCTGAGCAATGCCACCTTTTTGTTGCTGTAAAGAGCAATACATAGGAATGAAGATTTATTTTTTCAGTGTGAGTCCAGGCATTGGAACTAATTGTACAAGGCTGATGAATAATCAGTCATTAGGCCAACATCCACCGTGGCAGAATTGTGATTGTATCTCAGGCAATATGTAAGATATAAGAGAGTGAAGACAGTGGTGGGTAGTGCTGAGAGGTGATGTTAGTTACAGTAAAGCTGGGTCAGAGACGAGTTATTCCAACTTTCATCTGCAGGTGGGGCAAGCACAGTTTAAAATGTATTGTCTATCTAGAAAGAAGGAAGTTTTTATAAAATATTTTACTTTCACCCACCCAACACTACAAAAGGCACAAGAAACTACAATGGGAAGAACTGGCATCTTCAGAAAAGAATAGCCTGTGAACTGCAAGAAAGGGAGGGTGTCTAACTGTTGGCTTAGCAGCTGTGTGTTTATTTATGAAGTAGCACCATAAGCAAAGTGTATTTGCAAGTTTTAAGTAAGAAGTAGAATCAATAAATTTTATGTGAAGTTTTCAGGCAACAGCAGAAAAAATAAGAGAACAAAAGGAAAGCCTTCAAGGAAACTAGACAGAGGGCAGAAAGCACAGGTCTGTAACAAGCAGTACATCTAGAAAACTGTTGGGAGAGGTGCACACTATTAAAGCCCATTGTTTTGGTAAAGGGACGGAATTTCTTCCCAGTGCAATACTTTTGTAGAAAACACAGATTAAAGAAAGTGTAAATATGTGGACAGTATTCATCAATACTTTTACTACATTCTTAAAAAAACCACTTGGGACCACAGAGTGGATATAGGAACTGTAGGCAGGAAATTATTGACTACTCACTCATAATGACCAAGCTTTATATAGCCACATGTATATATTCTGGCTTTAGAAGTATATTTTACAACTTAAAGCAGTGATTCTAACCCTTGGCTTATAAAATCCTCTGTGTAACCAAAGTAAGTTAAAAACAACACTGATAATGAAAGCAAAGTCTGGTGTTGCCTGGAGCAACCTCCTTGGTCCATACAGCTGTTCATGAGAAAGGGATTTGGGTGGTTTTGTATGTCATTTCTGAAAGTTTAACCTGAATTAAGATTGCATTATCTTTTTGTTGTTGTTGTTGTTGTTGTTGTTGTTAATGATGCTGTACTATGGTGTTTTTTGTCAGGATTTAGCTTTTTCAAAGTCTGATATCTGACTTTGAGGAGCTTCGGAGGACATGCTCTCCCTTGCTGTGGCAGCAGTCTGTTTCTGTTGGTTTTATATCAGCATTTGGTGCAAGGAACTTTACAAGAAGTAATAATAAATATAATTGCAAAATGCCCATTGTTCTGTTTTTCATGCCTGGATAGAACTGTTTTATTTTTGCCATGTGATTCATTTCAAGAGAGGATTATGCCAAGTTCTGCCTTATGATCATTGGAGATTCACCCTTGGGAAATGCTTCATCACAAGCTTGGCAGGAAACACTCAGCAATTGCTTTCTCAGAATTCATCCAAAGAAAATGCCTTTGACTGAGAGTCAAGCACTTCCTTTTGAGAAAATGCCATAATCCCCCCC